CTCACCCTCGCCACGTGCGCCGCCGAGACCTGACGGGCACACCCACTCGCGGGCACTTCCGCCGCGCTGGACCTCGCCGGCCACCGTACAGCGACAGAGTGTTTAAAAAAGATTAGAAATTCGAATAACTGGTTTGCCCCAAGAACCAACCAGTCACTGGCGGATGCAGCCTCAGGGACGTTTTTCTAAGCAGCCGTAGACACCGGAAAAGAAGCGGTACTGTCTAACTTCACTAGTTTATGACTAGTAAACTAGATCAACCTCGCCAGTGGCCCACCGGAAGTGAGCACAGCGTCCCTCGCACATGACGTTTGCGGAAGTGTTGCGTGGCGTTGCCCCTGGAGACCGCAGAGGTCTGGGACCCGGCTCCTCTCCCGGGAGTCGGTTGTGCTGTTGGCCGGGCTTTCTCGCTTACCAGGCTGCAAGATGGTCCCGGGCCTCTCTCAGGAGTTCTCTGCCCACTGAAACCGGCCAGAAGAAGGCAGTGTCCGCGCTCTTCCCAGTTCCTGGGTTTTTTTTTTTTTTTGCTGATCTTTGAGCAATGCGCCCTTGTGGTCTGAATTGTACCTGTCTGTCTTGTCACGTTAGTTAAGGAGGGGAAAAGCCCCATGCAGTCATGTGTGTGTTTAAAGAAATGGTGTTATACGATAGAAAGCCAAGCCATGTTAATCTTTGTGCCGGATGGTGTATTCCTTCAAGTATGCTCTGAGCACCTTCAGCAGTGTATCAGTCCATGCTGGACGCTCCTCCCCCTTCTTAATCCTTGTCCCACAGCCACCAAACCTAATAAAGGTAGTGACTGACTTCACTTAGTAAATTTCGTTTACCTGTTTCATACTTGAATGCTCTGAGACCCCACCTTAAAATATGACCCCGTCTACCGCCTCTGGGAGATAGATATTGGTACCTTATTTCAGAAAGTCACTGTAAATGGGATTTTGAAAAACTAAACTTTACTCGGAAAATATTAGGAATTCGTTTATGTCGTCTACACTGAAATGTAAGATTCCTCCAGAAGTACCTAACAGCTGTATATAAAATGAATTTGGTAAATACATTTTAATTCAAATTTGGCTAATCTACCTTAAATTTTGTACATCATACAGGGATAGAATTTTCCATAATCACCCCTCTAATTTACACTGTCATTTACAGTAACATTAAATTCAGTGTTACAGTCTGTACGCGGTACCCCTCTTATTTCCAACTCAGTCTGATAAACTTGAACTTCAAAACCACCTGTCACCTGAGGAGGGGAAGAAGGATTGAAGGGAGGGGTGGGAAATGGGAAAAAATAATTAAGACATAATTTACAGGTACAAATTCCTCACGATGAGTGTGATCCTTATGTATGGCAAATATGTACTAATAAAATTTTAATCACCTTTTAGCTAACTACTCTATTTTACAAGTAAAGAACTGGCATTTAGAAAAGGGAAGTCAGTTCCCCAGCTAGTTAGACATACTCGAACTCTGGATCCTCACAATCCTAAGCCCTAAGGCTCCCCATCTAAGAATCTTCCTCTTTCTGAATTGTTCATCTTTCCAACTCTCCATCTGTGCTCATGATAGTGTCATACTTTCGTTCTCATCCATGAATTCAAACTTTCGAGCACTTTCCATTTTTATCACCGTGCCTACCCCAGCCAAAGTTAGCAATTTCTACTTCTTCTAAAGTAACTCTGTACACTCTCCAACCAATTACAGCCCTCTTGTCCCTGCCACCGTTCCTTGTGTTATTCCTACACTAAAGCATACTGTATCACCTGCAAGAATTGGATTGTCTCAAAATAGTAGCAGTGAACTACAAAATCTTGCATTCTGGGCGACTTTGTTACTTCAGACCAAATACTTTCAGACCTAACTTCTTTTCCACTCTATACTGCACGTGATGCCATACTGAGCTGGCTGAAATTGTCCTCTGCCAGCCCCACACTCGGGGCCCCGGGGAGCTCCTTTTCCCCTCAGCACCTGTCTGAAGTAGCACCTCTCCATCTCTGAAGCCTTCTGTGCAGTTTTATTCCCCTCCTGTGCGGTACACCGCTCCCTGCCCCATCACTCCAGCATCACTGCCTGATTCTCTTTCTCTTCCTTGTCAAACACTTCCTTCTGCTGGAGAAGCTCCAGCCACTGGTCCAAATCTTTTTAATGTTTTTCCTCAGGAGGAACCCTTGAAATAAGCGTCCTGTCACCAGAGCCTCTGCATTGCAATCACACACACACACACACACACACACACACACACACACAAGCACAATGAGAAAATTTTAATATAACGATTAATGACATTGTCAGCGTTTTGTTTTAAGACAGGATATCACCGTGTTTCCCAAGCAGGTTTGAACTTATGAGCTCGAGGGACCCTCCCGCCTCAGCCTTACAGGCACACAACATCAAGCCTATCTCAAAGCTCTTCTCACCAGCGTCGCTTGTCATCTGCACTACTTTTTAAAGCTGTAAGTCAGGATATTCGGTACATTTACATTGCTGTGCCGCTTGTGCTACTTTCAAATAGAAAATACTGCTTTTCTGTGAATCTGGTTTTGGGTGTATGGGGTAGGGGGAGTCATAGGGAATGAATCCAGGGCCTCACACATGGCAAGTAAGAACTCCATCACTGAACTACATTCCCAGCCCTTTTTAAAAATTGTATTACAAAAAAAAAAAAAGTTCTTGCTAAGTTGCCCAGGTTGGCTTCAAACTTGAAATCCTCCTGCCTCAGCCTCCCAAGTAGCTGAGACTACAGATGTGCACCACCATGCCCAGCTCTTGTTTTATTTTTTATTTTTTTGTTCAGTTTATTTGGCCACTCCATGTAGGCTAATAACATTAACTCACAAAGAAAAAATATTAACTCATAAAGAATATCCAATACAAATGGGGACTTCAACTTTTCCTTTACATCTAGTAAATATTGCTGTTTGATTGTAATGAATGTTGATTTCCTTTTATAGACCTAAATGTGTAAAATCATTGACCTATTTATTGTGGAATACTTGAGATGATTATCTTTTGTGTATATTCACTCAGTTCTGAGCTTGAAAACCTCACACACAGATTTCATTTTCATCTGAATTGCTACGGCTTCTACCTTTGCTGCTAATGCCCGAAGAAGTTGAAAAGCAGGGCAAAATGTTTATCCCTTTATGATGAGCAGCAGGATGCTTTTCTTTCACAGAAACTCAGAACATATGAAAAGGCAAACATTTTACCAGGGGTTCACAGGCGTAAATTCACAAAGCTCTTCCTTCCCTCAAATTCAGGCGCTCAGGCTGAGGAGGCTCCGGGACACGGCCCTCATCCAGCCCCATAAATCGTGTCGAAGACGGAAAAAGAAAAAAGACGGAAAATTTGGTTCAATTTTTTCCTGCACCTCTTCCACGTGGTTTTCAGTAAAATTTTGATACTTCCTCGCAAATGCAGGCAGCAGTGGAAACATCAGGAGATCTCTTTTTGCCATATGATTTTTCCAAAGACCAATGTCTATTTCAATTCTAGAGTCTTATCACTCTGAGTCCAAAGGGTTTTCTTAGGGCCCTGAAAATGCTTTCTCAACTTTTTCACATGATAAAAATGTCCATAAGTAGCCCAGCTTCTCCAGCCAGTCTCCATCTTCAAAGCATTGGGTAAAATCTGCCTGTTTTCTGGGAAACACTCTTCTGCTCAACACTCTGAAGCACTTAAATTTGTGTTGTTTCTTTTCCTGTGCGGTAAATTATTCCAACACTTAGTGGTTGGAAACACCAAACATTGTCTTGCATAATTTCTGTAGGTCAGAAATTCAAGAGTGTCTAACTGGGAAGTTCTGGCTCAGGTTTTCTCACAAAGTTGTAGTCAAGATATCAGTCCTGGCATACTAGGAGGTCAAGGCAGGAGGATCACAAGTTCAAACCCAGCCCGGACAATTTAGTGACTCACTTAGAGGCCGTGTCTAAGTTTAGAGGGACTGGGGGAAGATCAGTGTGAAGGTCTGAGTCAATTTCTGGTACTGGAAAAAAAAAAAAAACAAACCAGATGTCCACCATCTGTGCAGTCATCTGAAGTCTTCATCAGGACTGTGGGTCCCTCCTGAGCCGGCATGCTGAGATCCCTGAGGCACCAGGCAGGAGGCCTCACTTCCTTGCTCCGCCGGCCTCCTTTATGAAGCCCCTGAATGTTTATACGCCATGGAAGCTGGCTTCTCCCCAGAACAAATACTTTGCTAAGCCATAAGATTGATGCATGTGGCAGGAGATGGTTACACGGTTTACGTAAAACACATTCTTTTGGGGGGGGATCAAATTTGGGTGTCCTTGTGCTTGCGAGGCAGGTGGTGGAACCGCTGAGCTAAATCCCCAGCCCTTAAAACACATTCTTGAGTGAACTGGCCTGTGTTTCACAAGGGCAGCCATTTTTATAATGTCATCCAGAAGTCTTTATTTCAGCTCCACAAGCATCTGACACCAGCATCTCTCTGGGAAGAAAGCAATGTGCTGTAAACACATTAGCATTTTCTTTTTTGGGAGGGAGCAATCAGGGAATCGTCCTTGGTGGACCATTACCAGTACAGACATACCTTTTCCTTCCAATATGAAGACAGCATTAAATATATCATTATTTTGCTTATTTGGGCCCAGATTTTACAGCAGAAACGTTTCCTTGAATTTCATCATAGTTTATGAATCTCACAAATGCTACCGTTATTCCTGTCGGATGAGCCATCTCCCTGGGTGAGAAGTTGTCAGGGGATTTGATCTGTTGAGCCTTCGGGTGATGCGTCAGCAGTCTCACCAATTTCCCTCATTCCAAAAGTGGGGCCTTTCTACTTCTATTGCATCGCGTTCTGGCATTTCACTCTTTATAACCCTACAGCCTAGACCGGTGAGGTTTCCACTAACTGTGGGGCTTTTTCCTTTTCTGGCCAAAAAGTTTTACTACTAAACACCTTGCTCTCTGGACCTTTTCATTGAAGGTGACTTAAAATTAGTTTATTCTGGGTTCCCATTCACAAGTATCTCCTCCTTCACTATGATTTGTAGTTGAGTGTTTTTTCAGTTTTCCTGGAGCCATGCCTGCATTTACAATTTGGAACTCTCCCTTGCTATTCTTCATTGTTTGTCACAATTACTGAGGCTTAGAATTCTCTTCTGTTTCCGACTTCATCTTCAAAATTAACTGCTGTGGACTCTTGGTCATGTTCGTAACACACAAGTGCTACTAACGTATGGTTGACCTGAAAGGCGTGTTGACACACGTCAAGTACGAGAATGACAGCTTATTCCAGCTAAGATGAGGAGGATCACCAAGTGGAGGAAAGTCAGAGCCTGAGAGTCAGGGCTCCCCATGCAATGTCTGAGGGGCCTGAACTTCTGCGATAAAGAACAAAGGAGGAAGTTATGGGAAAGTGGCCATTACAATCCCATGGGTTGGCGAGAAGGGCACAGGTTGTTGTTGGTTATTGATTGATCATCAAACACTCCAGGTAAGAACTGGGATAAGAAGAAAAAGTCTCTCACTGAGGGTCTTTGTTACATCTATGGAGCTAAAGAGTCTGCGCTGGGGTCAGAGTGACCTAGGTGACTGCCTCGGTCTCAAGCCTCATGCTTCCTTGCGTGAAAAAATTCTGTAACCTCATTTCAGTTTTCTGTGTGAAATTTTATGTCCTTCCTCAGTATAAAAAGCCAAACTCAATGGCAATCACAAGAGAAAAGTGAAGTGTCCAAAATGCAATTCATTTTTGACCCACAAACTCCGTGCTTGCAATGTTTACAACATTAGCAAAGCAACAGCGGTGTGTGTGAGTCAAGGCACATAAAACTGTTTCCCTGGCATTAAGATTTGACCCCTGATTTCCTGCTACACTCATATGCTCAGGGGGCGGATGCCAGAGGAGGCCAGGGAAGCTGGACATGTAAGTCAAGAGGGAGACGTGACGTTGGCCATCTGCCACTCCTCCCTCTGCAGCTCAGCACTCACCAGTTGTCCAAGGCTTCTGCCATCCCTGTTAAGTATGGTGATCAGTGAGCATGGTTTGATGGAGCATTGGCACACAGGTGAACAGCCTCTAGCAAAATTGCCAACAGGGCCTCATGGTCACTAGCTCTGCAAGTACTGGCATTTTATAGAGAAGGAAGCTCAAAAATGTAAAAGAAAAATATTTTCTGAAAGTCTAGTAACCCCTCAGAGCTGCCCTCATGGTACTGCAGAAACCCATACAAGACCATAAGCTTCTGAATTCTATGCACCCACCACTGTGGCTGGCATCAATTTGATGCTCAGTGAGTATTTGCTGAACTGAACTGAACTCTTCTCTGATCTTTGAACTTCTGCCCATCCCCTAAGATCCTACTTGTCAACAAATGACTAAAGAGATCAAAAAAGAGATGGAAGGACAAGACAGTGTACGTGATGCAATAAAAATGCAGTGAATGTTAGTTTGTTTTTAACACACCGCCATTAATCCCTCTAAATACTCCTGAGCACTTCAGACACATTTATCCCACTGTTCTCGGCGCCTTCTGAAGCAGTTCCAGAAGTCTTCTTTCATGAGTGTATTTAGTTGTGCTTCGAGGCTGCCTTGCTGTCCTCAAACAATGCAAAATGTTGACATTTCATGGTCGTTTTGACTGTGGGGAAGAGCCAGAAGTCATGTGGTGCTAGTAGGCCCAGTGAATAAGGTGGATGAGGACCACAAAATGTCTTTATCTGACCAAAACTGCTAAACCAGAAGCACTGTGTGACACAGAGTGTTGTCATGATGGAAGGTGAAATAGTGTGCCCATTTTACAAGCCATTTTCGATGCACATCATTCCCTAAATGCTCAAATACTCCTCAGAATTCATCTTCAAATTCCTGGGTACAAACTCAGCTAGTGTGACTCTGTCAAAGTCAAACACAAATCACCTTTCCCTTGGTGCTGGATCCGGACTGTGGGCTTCTTCAAGAACCAGATGATTACCATTGAGAAGACCGAGCCTTGATCTCAGGGTCACAACCGTAGACCCCAATTTTATGTCCTGCAGTGATGTTTCTTAAAAACCTGGAATTTGAAGTAGCACAATAGGGCAACTCCAGTGAAACTGACAAAACGTTGTGCTGATGCATTTTTTAATAGTGCATGATTTAAAACACACCTTTTTCAACCATAGCTCACAACTGCACTGCACCAGCGGAAACTTGTCCCACGCTGTCACTAACGGTCTGTGTGCAGCTACTCGTGCTGAAGACCCCGGCCCTTCTGGACGGCACTCACCAGCAGCAGCGACTGCATTTTTTATCACATCACGGAAGTGCAGGCTAATGATGAGCTCCAAGGCCTAAGAAGGCACGCATTCAGCGATGTTACTGAAAACTTAGACAATCGAACTGAAATACTTGGAAAGATGATATCGTGAATGACAGAAATGCTGCTAGGAAATGGGCTGAAAAGTTTTATATCAGAAGAAAATTTTAGGACGGCAGCAAGCTGATGTTAAATTGGAAACCACAGGGGTGGCGGGGAAGGGAAGGGAAGAGAGTTACGGTGTACCGGGTAGTTGGACCAACTCCCCACCATGAATGTAATAATTAGGTACTGCAGGCATATGCTAATAAAAATAAAGTAACAGACAGGAAGCAACGTGAACTCCTGACTTTGTGCTTGTGAGACAGGCGCGGTGCCACTGAGCTACATCCCAGCCCTAGTTACAGTATTTTATAATAAACACAGACACCATTTTATCCATAAATCTCTAACAGGATATTTTAAAATACAAACATAATACCATTACCTAATGAAAGTAACAATGTTTTAGCACCTGGCAGTATCCAGTCAATGTAGATTATTCCCAAGTTATTTCAAACTTTTTAATGGTTGAAGCAACCAAATGAAGGTCAAAACAAGGTCCGTGTCCCTACAGACACTATTATATGGATGTCTCTAAACTCCCTTTCATTCTGGATCAGTTTCCTTTCTCGTGGATGTGTGTGTGTGTGTGTGTGTGTGTGTGTGTGTATGTGGTACTGAGGGACCCATGGCTTTGCACGTCTTGCACACACTACGCAAGCACTCCCCAATTCAGCTACACCCCCTAGCCCTGCCTCCCTATTTTTACGGCCTGTCTTTCTTGAAGAAATTGATTCTGTTGTCGCTTCCTGTTGCCTCCCTGACTGCATCCCCGGGGTGGTGTATATCGTGTTCCCTAACCCTCTGGATTCCCTATAAACTGGTAGTGAAATCTGAGAACTTGATCATGTGCAGATTCACTTTCCCCCCAGAATTCTTCCTAGAGCCTCCTTATGTCCTTCCCGTGAAGAACGATAGGTTGGACGTCCATGAGGAAAGACGTCGAGCCTGCGTGTCTTCTTTCTGACCGACTGCCGATCTCTCTGTTATGAAGTCATCCCTGCCAGCCAGCGCCTCACCTCACGGTTTCAGCAGCTCCTGATGACCCTCGCCAGGTCAAATGGGGATTTACTCTGCCTATCACCCCTTCTGCAACCAGTGACTGGGAAGTTCTTTGCTTTAGAAAATATTCTTATTTCAATGCATACAACTTTTTCTTTTTAATTCATAAAATGCTAAACCTTGGGCTTATGGGAGCCCCTTCAAACTGGGTCCTGTGTTAGTGTCACTGACCGGCCTCTGAAGCTTCCTCCCTCTGACACAAACGTCCACGGCTCACTGCCCAACTCATCCCAGCCGTGAGACCAGCCCTTTCTCCAAAGAGCTTTCTCATTTTTCCCAGTGTTGTGTAGTTGCCTCTAGACTATCATGACTTCTAAGCTCTAGCAGTGGACAAAGCTGGAGGAACATTTTTAAAATTGTGGTTCATAGCAATAATTCTGATTCACAGTTAGCATCATTATTATTATTTGCAATAGCACGCATACAGTATATATGTATTCATCATCAAATAAGTATACATACTTTCAATAATAAGACTATTGAGTACTCCACAGTGCGATAAAAATATGGTGAATATTTAAGTTTTTTAAAAATTATTACAGTAAAAGACGTAATTGTACTCAGAAGATATAATTCAATCACAGCATAATGAATTCTCCATATATTTAGTAGTGTTTTCAATATGATATACCTTTATTTTTACCATCTGCAGTCTTCACCCTTAAAGCGAAAAATATAGTTTTACCTTACCAAAAAACAAAAAACCTACTTCCGTGTAATCTGTCTCCCCTGGAAAACAGAACAGAGGCTTTGTTCCCTTAGCACAATGGGGCAATCGGCCTCTGCAGGAGAAACCCTTCCCATTGGTTGCCTCTCTCAGCTATTTACTGGGAAGGTCATTTTTTGTTTAAATTACGGTAAAACTCTGGCTTTTAGCCAAATTCCTTGAGAGTTCAAAAGTACAAGGCTCTGTAGGAAGTTCACTCTTTTTAAATATTTTTTCAGAGGTTAAAAATTAAATTTCAGAAGACTTCCTAGGACAGACAGTCTGCTGTGGAGACACGGACCCTGAGCACATCCAACATGAAACTTGCTCCGGTTGTTCTGTTGCTTCTGTGCTTCTGCTTAAGTTCCTGTGAGGTAAGTAATTCAGTCTTTAGGAAAACTATATTAAGTAGATATTTTAAAGCTTATTAAAAAATAGAAAATGTCTTAACAGATATGGTTTAGATTTAATATGATATAATTCACTTACCAAGAATACTGTTATATAAAAAATTGCAAGTATCTAGATAAATATTCTGATTTAAAAGTTTTAAGAGGCTACTTCTTTCTATATGCTTGTATGTGTGCACAGACATTGACTGGGACAATAATTTTACTAAACTAGCCTATGAAGTACTGTTCTATTAAATCAGCAAGCATTTACCGAGTTCCTTCTGTGTGTTGAGGTATAATGCTAGGGAAATAATAGGACTGCTCTCTGCCTTTGGTAGCTTTTAGTAAAGTTGTAGAAAACTAATATAAAGGAAGTCCTAACCCGGGTTTAAATTACATTTGAAAAAGCAAAAGAAGGGAATGTTACGAACTGTGCAGACATTCCTTGCTTAGAGTGGAGTTATGTTCTGATAAACCCGTCCTAGATTGAAAAGACCTTAAATCAAAAGTGCAATTCAGTACAGCTGAAAGTCACAGAGTAGTGTCCCGCTGTCCTTAGACTTGCTCAGTGCACAGCAACCTGCGGCAGTGTTGAGGGCTTCACCCAGTTCGCTAAACACGGGGCTGAAAGTGATGGGCATTTCATGTCCAAACAACGCTGGGACACAGCCCTGCGTGGACCGTGGAGAGTGATTTATCCTCTCAGCCCATGGCTTAGAGGGAGCTGTGGCGCCGGGACAGTGCCCTGCACCGTGAGAGTCTGCTAACACAAGTCACCCGCCGGAGGGACTATCCGATTCCAAGTCCAGCTTTCTCCTGGTTATGGACGGCTTTTACCCCACCATAAAGCCCAAAATCAATGAAAGGAGCCGTCTATATACATTCGATTACCAAAAACGGTGCAAATAAAGGACTTTAATGCGGGGACAAATCACCCAGCGGTGAGAGGCCAGGAAGAGACGATGGATCAAGTGGGGTTTGCACAGAACCTGCAACTCTAGATTAGATTTGATCTGTGCAGGAAGAGGTGATGCTTCCCAGCCCTTCCAGCCAGCGAAAGCACCAAGCACAAATGCAAGCAGAAGCGCTGGGCTCCTGTGGATCGATAAACCCACAGTGTGGACTCGGCAGAAGCTGAGACTAAGTGACACGTGACTACGAGGTCGCAGGGGGTCTGTGCCGGTTAAAAATGCTTAAAACATTTAAAGTAGCCGTTGAGGATGGCCAGCTTTGGTGGACAAGGTGTTCTGAGATGACATTCCAGAAATATTTTGTCTTACAGAAGCACCTATGTTTAAGAAACTACTTAAGAAGTCAGAATGGCATATTTTCTATTTCCTATAAGTTCTAAAATGTTATCAATATAGTGTTATAATATAGAAAAATAGAAAGAAACTAATTGCTCAGCGATGAGAAATTGATTAAAGATTATATCTCCATAAGTAAACTACTATGCAGCCAATGAAATGACTTGATTCTGTATTTATTGACATAAAGTCCTATTGCAATCTTATTTTTGATAAAGAAAAAAAAAGCCAGGAGTTGTGTAATCCCAGTAGGTGCACACCCAGGAGGCTTGTAAACCCAGTATTCTGGGATGCTGAGTCAGGAGGATGGTAAGTTTGAGCTCAGCCTGGGCAAGTTAACAATTTAGTAAGACCTTATCTCAAAAAAAATTTTTTCCTTATCTCAAAATTTTAAAAATTTAAATGAAAAAAAAAAGGTTGATGATATAGCTCAGAACAAAGGCCTGGGGTTCGGTGCTGAGTCCTGGGGGAAAAGAAAGAAAGAAAAAAATATACATACATAGATCTGCATAGATATATAAGCACATAGGCATAAATGGATAAACTGTTTGCATATGTATGAAAATTAAAAGTTCTTGCAGGGTATATCTGACAGTTGAACCTGATTAGTCAATTTAATCGGCCTGGGAGCCTCCTAGGAGATTAGTGAGTCACACTTCTGGAGCATCTGGGTGGGTCGTGGAGCCGTGGCCTCAGGGCCTGAGTTTAGTCCCTGTCCCTTCCTCTCCAGTGCCGTCCCCTGCACTGCTCCCTACCACTCTGAACTAAGGAGCTGTGGTCTGCCACACACCCCTCTGCCTGATGTTTCTTCCTTGGAGCCAGCTGGCGGTAGACTGAAACCCTGAAACCCTGAGCCAGGTTTAAGCTGTGGCTGTCGACAGCAACAAAGCCAACCAATACAGTGTGTATCAAATAAATGGCTTCTGTGGATAATTGGATCCTGATGATTTTGTTTTTTATTCCTTATATTTCTAAATTTTAAAATTCAGAAAACATACTCATTTTTATTAAAATGAATGTACTTATAAAAGTAAACTTAATTTTCAAAAAATAAATATTCTGAGTCCTAGAACTTCTCATTCCTAGAAGAAAAACATTAAAAAAATACATATAATAATATTTCACGAGGAAAAAAAAGAGCCTCTTTCAATTGTCCTCCAAAAATAAGTCTTCAATCGTTCAAGAAATAGCAAAGATTAATATCAAGTGTGTGAAACTTTCAGAACTTCTTACTTTATGAAAGAGGAATTTTTAAACTCACCTAATGAGAATTAAACATGGAATCTATTATAGACGCAACCTGAGTGTATTCAAATAGCTTAAAAATGTATCCCTATGTTTAAACTGCGTCACTTGCTGATTACCGAAAGAATGAGGAGGTAAATCTTTTGGACACAGAGTGGCCAAGTGTAGGTATTGGAAAGCAAGTCTCAAATCTGCCTCCCAAGGGCAGAGTATGGAGATATTTATGGGCAGCGGAGCGGGGAAAGGTGACTAGGTGTAGGACGGACCTGCTGGTCTATGTGTGCACACTCAGACTTCGTGGAATATCGCCATCACGATCCACAACTCAGAGGCACTGCTAATCCTCTGACACTGGTGGGTTTTAAAGTCAACAAAAAGCGACTGACTGAGAGCAGATAAAACAGATTAAGTCTGGGGGGTTTATTCAGATTTTCTTTCAATGTAGTTCCCTCCTTGTCTTTGTTCACCTTTCTTTCTCTTTTGTTTGTTTTTGTTGGTGGTGATAGTGAAAGTGGGGTGGAGCTCAGGGCTCATGCACACTACGGAGCTACTCCCAACCCCGACTTTCATTCTTGAAGGACTCGGAGTGGTGACCGATTCTGCTGTGTCTGTCTGGACCCGGGGGTGTATCTGGCTTAGGCGTTTCTGTTCATTCGGTAGTCGAGTCCCGTGGGCAGGTGATGTACCAGCGTCACAGACCACCCTCATCCCTAGACCAGGAATGTGGGAGATGGTGACACGGTAGGCTTTAAACAGTGTCTAACAAAGGAAGTGCACAATATAACATTCAATATATCAAAGAAATCATTCATTGCTTATCCTTAGAAAACTGACTTCTGAACAGCAACTTAAATTCATCAGGGACTCACTCGGTCCACCAAGAGAAGTCAGTGTCTGGAGTCTGAAGTCAGGCAAAGTTTGGGTGATTTCAGTGAGTGTGTTCTTCTGCCCTATGATTTCCATTTCCTGTAATGCTCCTGTGCATGGCACACAGTGGACTCGATGATTTCTTCAGAACAAATTTAACTCCCGTGTGGTGGATCCATGGCTTGACTCCGTTCAGTTTTACCGAGAAACAGGTCTCTAGTAGCACTTCATACGGTCCTGTCCAGTAAATCTGGAGCTGTTCTTCCTCACGTTTGCTTTTCCAAGATGTCATTGAAACCCAGCCTCCAAGACAGAAGTGATGCAAAGTAACATCTGTAGGAAACATCAGTCTTCTAAAAGCAAACTTTGCCCCGCAGTTAGAGCAGCTCCCAGTGAGTGCACATTTCAGAGGGTTCAGCTGAAGTTTGCTTCTAGGGGCCACCTTGTCTGAAGTAAAGCAACTGGTAATGCATTACACCAGTTAAACTAGTTTCCTGACAAACTGTAGCTAGTCTTTTTAAGAGTGTGGTCATTTTCCTTCACTGCTACAAAATACCTGAGATCATGAGCTTCTAAGGAGAATGATTTATTTTGTCTCGCACTCCCCGAGGTTTTGGTTCATTGTTGAGGAGTCCTACTTGGGCCTGTGAGACAGAGTATAGCATGGTGGAGCCACATGACTGGGGGGGCCTGTCCACCTCATGACCACCAGGAAGCCAGAGGAGAGACAGGAAGGGGCCAGGGTCCAATGTCCCCCGAGGTCATGTCCCCAGTGACATAACTTCCTCCCATCAGGTCCAGTCCTAATGGTTCCCAGTGGTATCAGGGTCTGGGCACAAAGCCTTCCACACTTGTTGGGAGACATTTGAACTATAGCCAAGAGTATGAGTCAAATTCTTCTGCTTTGCCAGTAGATAGAAAGTTGCTGAGAAATGTATTTTCCAACAAATGTGTCAGGCACCTGTTACTTATTTTTGCCATAAAGGCCCCTCCATTGTCAATTAGAACTGATATGGGCAGCCTGAACCTAGGAATTGCTTCTTTCAGTAAGGTATTAACATCTCCATAACCTTTTCAGACCAACAAAGCAAAGCCTCTTCTGAACCTATAAACCATTCACAAATACTAGTAGGTACCTGGATATCCTATTGGCCCTTGGCACCATAGGGAAGTCAATTTGCCAGTCTTAGCTAATTCTGATTGAACTCTGTTATTATGGGTGGGGCCCTGTTTGGGGGTTATTTTTGGCACATAGCATGTATCTTTGACTCGCCCTTTGGAAAGTCCTTCTGTACCCACTGGAGAGTGGCATCTCTCCGATATGTCTTTTTCTCCAGTAGATGCCCAGAGACAAAGACTGTACCTTGTTACTGCAAATGCATCCCCCTTTCATCCATCTGGAGTAGGCATCCTAGCAGCAGTCAGGCGGCCACTCAAATCCCCACTCCTGGGCCCTTTCTAAGTCCTCAGAGAAGTGATATTTTGTTAAATACACATCAGGAATCAGGAACATTATTTAGAACTTAGGCCTGGCCACTAGCTTTCTAGCCTGATCTGCTCCAT